TCATATGATAATAAATTATTGCAACATGTTATTATTACCAACACACACACACACACACACATATATATATATATGTGTGTGTGTGTGTGTGTATGTATGTAATATTTATGTAATAAGTATTACAAATATAGATGTTATATAAATAATATTATAATATATTAAAAAATAAAATATTATAACATTTATATAATATGTATTACAAATATAATACTTTTTAGGGTACTTCATGTTAATTCCTTATGCAAACAGTGCAATGCATGAAACTTTGTATTATAATGTTGTTGTATCCATAATATCTTTACAAATTCTCATATGAAGAACCAATGTATACAAGTAAAGAATTATAGTAAATAACCAAACAATCAAACCCTATGAAACCATATGGGAATTAGATTAGATTAAGTATAGAAGTCATCGAAATTTAACAGGATAAAAGAGGTGATCAAAAGTTTGACATCCCAATTTCCTTTTATAAGTAGTATAGATAATGTAGGATGCCGCGTGTTAGAAAAGCTATGATATTGGTGTTATTTAAAAATTTTTATGTTTTTATGAGTCCATGCTGATGAATTCATATGTTTTATTAATTTCTTATTAATGCAACAAATAAACACATATGATGCACAACGTTTTATTAAAAGAAATAGTAATTGTACTTGTAGAAATAATTTGGTATTTGTTTACTGATAAGAAACTTTGTGGGTTTTTTTGCTACAAAATCATTTCCTTAGTCAACTATCTAAGTTCTAGTGAGATGAAAAATGGAAAAAAGATTACTGTTTAGTAGAAAACTGCCAATGAAATCAAAGTCATTTCTATTAAGTAACACTCTGCTAATATCGTGTATATTCCACAAAACAAACAACCTACATCAAATCAATAATAATTTTTTAACACTCGTAGCAGTAGTAGCATCCATAGGTAGAGCAGCAACCTCTAGCTCTGTATCTTCGCACCGTAAAACCTATAAAGAATATCATCGTCATCAGTCGTAAATCTTACAGAGTCGAGCATTGATGGCACACTGGTGCGTGATAGTCCTAACAATCCCATTGCAGTAGAGGTTGAGATGCGACTCACTGGTGACAATGAGGAAGATGATATCACAAAAGCACGATCAACATTACAACATCATCTTTTAGCAGTAGACAAAGTGTACACTATCCTTGATGTTCATCGATATGCAGGGCGAGCAAAACTCGGCTTTGTTGAAGGAATGTCGTGCAAGCTATAGAGAGGCACAAACGCCAGCTTTTACAAGAAAAAAGAAACGGTTTGGAGTTTCACTTTTCAAAGTAGAGAGATTTTTAAGATGGATAGTAAGGAATGAGGTAAGCATCTATGGATTAATAGGTTTGACAGCTGTAAGAGACGAAGAGGCATTATTAATGATGAAGAGTCTAAATATGCTTCTCAAAAGATCTCTTTTATGATTAACGCTATACTATACGTGAATATATGTAGGCATGAGACTCAAAAAGGCACATGTTGTTACTTCATGTTATAAAAAGACATAAGCTAAGTTAATATTCATTAATGCTAAATTAAATGTTATATAAATACATATGTCATAAGCTTCTGAAACTTTTGATGGATGCCACCGAGTTTCATTAATAAGGATAATATTCTTTTATATCGAATATATTTTAATATTTCAATAGTGGTAGTATATTATAATTATACAATAATATATAATAATGTTATCTTAATATGTAACATATCTTTTAGATAAAGTTAATACCTATAATATTATATCTACATAACATTTATGTCTATTTTCTATAGTATTATGCTGCAAATTATATTTTATCTATGCATATACATCTATTATAAGAATGGATTAGTATTGGATTAGATTATTAGATTTTACTCTAGTAAAAAAAATAACATTCATAAATATTAATTATTAAAATTAATTAAATATTATATTTTAATAGTAATTTTTTAGTGAAAACAATGAAAGTTTTAAATTTGATATTTAATGACATATGAGGGCCTTTTGGTAATTATGAATGAAACTTGAAGGACATATTGGGAAATTTTATTTTAAAATAACATTAGATTAGTTAGTGAATTAGAGATAATTGGTATAATTAAGAAATATTAAAAATTAAGAGGGCAAAAGGTGAATTTAAAGTTTTAACACCACCAATCCTCTTTTATATGTAGTATAGATATAGATATAGATATAGATGAATGTCCATCCAACTTTTTAACCATTTGATGGACTAGCAAATCAAGATCAGAATCAACCTCCAATCTATGACACCTGAAATAATTAGAATATCTATCTTGCTCGGGCTCCACTTAGGCCCGATCAGGATCGAATTGGGGCATATAACCCTTAATCTGACCTACTTTCTTTTACTCAAACTCAAGTCATTTGTCACTTCATGAGAAGTGAAAAAAAAACTTTATAGCATTTTGATATTCTAGAGTATTATTTTAATAATTTGATATGAAAACTTTTTTAAATTTACTTTAAGGGGCTGTTTGTTTGCCTAAAAAAAAGGGAAGTCAAAGAATAGGAAACATATTTCTAAGAAAAATTGTTTTGAGATTGTTTAGTTGGCTAAAAAAAGAAGAAAATCAAAGAATGAGAGATGAGTTGACACATTATTATTGGATGATGTGGGTGATTTTTTAAGAAAATTTGTTTTGAGATTGTTTGGTTGTCTAAAAAAATAAGAAAATAAATTATAAGAAACATATTTCCTGTAATAGGTTCTTTTCTTGTGTTTGGTTCATTCATAAAAATAAGAAAACAGATGAGATGAGATGAGTTGTAATTATATTATTGGATGATGTGTCGATTTCCTAGATTTTTTGGAGGAAATTAGTGGAAATAAAATGTTAATGAGATGAGATGAGTTGTCACCATATTATTGGATGATGTGAGTGATTTTTAAAGATGAGATGTAATGAAGATGAGATGAGTTGGATAATGTGACTCATTTCTTGTGTTTGGTTTATTTTTAAGAGATGATATGAGAGGAGTTGTGGGATAAAAATAATATTTTATTGGATGTTGCGATGAGTTTTAGGGATGGAAATGGATAAAAATAACATTTTATTGATTTCCATGTATCCTTTTCATTTTCTTGATTTTTACGAAACCAACCAAACGGCCCCTAATTTGATAACTTGATACCAAAACTCTAACTTGGTTCCTTATTTTCCCTAAATGCAAAAAATTAAGATTTAGTAAGAACTTTAACTAATTTGCACTTCGAGGTATCAAGTCAAAACAGAACTTTAAACGCGCCAATGTTAGAAGTAAGTGAAACTTTGGGTAGTAAAGTGCAAATAACCCGAAAAAAAACCAACTTAGAAGTGAAGCTCAACAAGGGGGCGAACTCATCTGGGTCCAAATGAAGAAGAAGGTTGCAAGCTACAAAGCTTTTGTTCTTGGGCAAGATGAAGGGTCAGAGAGAAAGTATTTGTCCAAATTTCTGGCTTATAATATTTATCTGAGCTAAGATGTTCAGTCTTTATTTGTCCAAATTTCTGGCTTATATTATTTATTTGAGCTAATATGTTCATTCTTTATGAAGAAAGTGTTTGTTGGGTACCCTTTGTTCTCTTTGATGGAGGGGGGTGTCCTTGAGGAAGAGCTTGAAGTGGATCCAAGGATGTTGCCTATGGGAAAATGGTGAATTTTCTTGAAGAGGTAAAATCATTTGCTTAATTTCAGTCTTGCCTATGGGAAAATGGTGAATTTTCTTGAAGAGGTAAAATCATTTGCTTAATTTCAGTCTTTGATACCTATCTTAGCTAAGATTTTCATCCTTTATGAAGAATTGTTTGATGGATTTCATACCCTTATAGGGTTTTCCCACCTAAATGTGACAAATTGGTTAGGATCAAAATTGTGCTCTTTCTCTATAGAGACGTTAATTGACTAAAGAGTATATTGTTAATTGCTAATTCACTTTTTGAAGAGGAGGCTTCAATATCGAGGCTTAATATGTACCTCATCAAGGGATCAATATAAGGTATCCTTACTACAGGTAAGATTTTCAATCTTTATGCAGAACTATTGATCAGTTTCATGGCTACAATTAAGTGGGGTTTTGTTTCCAAAATGTATCAATTAGGGCCAATGCATGCTACATATGACTCCAATCTTTACTTTCTCAATTGCTTCTTGGGTTGAACATGTGTAAAGCAAAATAGATTGGAATTTTGTGTTTTGGGTTTTCTCTGATTTGCTCTATAGCCAATTGGCCATGTAGATAGGCGTAAATTTCAATAATTTTGTAACTTTTTATTGTTCAATTTCGTTCTATGTAGCTTTCCACACTGGTCATTGAATATTATAGTTTGATATGAGCAAAAAGAATTAAGTTTATAATTTTGTTTCTCATTGTTTGTGTCCTGTTGACCAGGGAAATCAGAGAATTGGTGTGACAAAGTTCACTCTTTGATACTTAACATGATAACACTAGCAATTGTGGACTGAACTTTTATGTTTCTTTAGTATTAGACAGTGATTGACAATGGATGCATATATTTCATTACTAATTATTTTCCCAATGCAAATGCCTTTTTTTTAGCTCTGATGAAACCGATAGATGTGTGAAGCTCCAAGTAACTTTATAAGTCAATCATATAGCTTATGCCTATAGATTGTTGTTGAAACCCAGAACAAGCATATACAAAACAGAAACTTGAACAATTGGACCAAATCAGGACCTTAAGGATTGACTTCGGCCAAGTTTTGAAGGATTATAGGATGTAATAAATTAGATTCAATGTTCTTTTGGCTGAGCAGTAGAAGAATTTATAACGATCCAAATCATTTAAGATTGACTGTAATAAACTAGTAACCTGCAGGTGTAATTTTTCTGTTATTTATTAAGACTTAAATCATTATCCTAACCTCACACTAGCAAGTAATGATACCCTGTGATCAAAATTTTAGTGAATTTCTTATGATAGTACTGTATGAATATTTTTGGACCATTTTCAATGTACATGATCCACGGGATAGTTTCTCATTTCTCACACAAGAAAAATGTATATACATTATCGACATGTTCATTTATTTACAATAGGTGTGATGCAAATAGTACACTACGTATATTTGCATCACCACCAGTTTATATCATCAACCACAAGCGCATTAGAAGAAGCCTGTGTGAGATGAAACCAGTCTATATCATCAACCACAAATGCCTTAGAAGAAGCCTGTGTGAGATGGAACTCTATTTGTAACCTCTGATGCAATGCTGTATTGGGATTTCCAGTTCCTTTCTCTTCCAACTCTAACTCCTCCCTTAACGGTATAGCTGCAAGAAATCTCTTTATGAACTCTCTACAACACTCTTTTCCTGTGCAAATTAGTTCATCTTCTTCACCTTTCTCCGATACTCTATACATCTCCGTAAAATCATCAAACTTTAGCATATAAGCCTTTGTGCAGCCTTCGAACAATCTCTCCCCCAGTGTATCGATAATATAAAAACTATCAGTCTCCACCTTTAGCACGAAGAAATGATCGTTCCAACTTATGATATAAATCCTTGGCTCTCCTCCTATATCACTTGTTATCTCGTTCCATATATCATCAAAAGACATGGCCCCACATAACGACTCAAAGCTCTCTGGCTGAAAGAACCCGACAAATGATTTCTCCGATAATACTGATATATCCCTGATGTTTGCTTCTAGGATTGTATCGAGATCAAAATGTTTGTTATGAAAGCGATTTATGTATGATGTATTATTACAGAGTTTTTGCCACTCTACTGATCCCTCTTTGATCAGATTATCGAATTCGAGCCTGTTTGGGACATAATCTTGTTTTGAGAGGAGTGCGTCGGCTATCACAGCGACAAGGGCAGTGCAGGCACTTTCTCCACCTGCACTCTCATCGCGCTGATCGATGGAGGCAAAGAAGGTTTTGGATTTGAGCTTCGTTTGCCCATCTCTGCTGATGATTTCTTTGCTCACCCAGGTATCATTTGGTTCTACTGTTTCTTTGCTCTGCTAAAAGGAAAAGGATAAATTTTCAAAAAATAATCGATTCTTAAAGTAAGATAAAGACAAATTTCACAAAACCAATATGAACATTTGGGTGTTTTGCATAAAACTACCATGTATGTTTCGAACTGCAGAAAAATATCATGTATGTTTCAAGCTTTTTCTATTGGAGAAAACTACCATGTATGTTTCAAACTGCAGAAAAAAATATCATAAACCATTAGAAAGTATTATTAACAGCATTAATGTCTTGAATTAAATGTCTAAACTACAGGTTTTTAACATTCATGAAGAGGGAGAGAGCAATATAAATCGTATGTATAATACAGAAAGGTAAAATTGTGCAAAACTTGGTGGCGTGTGAGGCATGTGAGAAATTACCCATCATTGTACATGGTAGTTTAGTGAAAAAAAACTTCAAGTTAATTTTCTTTAATAAAAAATCTTATGCTAAACTTCTGAAGTTCGTGGTAGTTCTGTGAAAG